AAGCAGCTTGAACTTCTTCCTTCATCACCATAGGCTCTTGCTTATATGTTATTTCATTAAATTCTTCTGTATCTGCCAATTCCTTTCTATACAATGACTCAGTATATTCCTTCCATCTTCTTTTAATACTTCATGGATCATTTAGTATTCTGCCCAAAGCATCCTTGATTATAGCAACATATATTGGATATGTAAACCATACAGATGAAAATAATAGGGAGGTGTACTCTTTTAAAAATGTGTATATACAGTATCTGGCACTCATGGTCTAGTTATAAGAAGCTGCACTGCAATCTCAAGTGCACACGGTTTGAAGCCACCAGCTGCTCTACAGAAGAAGGATAGGCAATCATCTCTGTGCTATTTGCTGCCTCTGAGAACCCACTGGAGGGTCAGCTATGAGTCCATTCCACTTTGACGGCATCTATTTTACTAACTGTGAAAATATTTTATCCACTTACTTACATTTAAAGTGTTTCCCCCGCTTTGTTCCCATCTCCCTTCCTTCTCCTCTTCTCCCTTCCTTCTCCTCTTTTTCAACCTTCCAGAATGGATTCTGTGTGTAAACCATTCCTTAGCTTTTTCTATTCTCACACCATAATTGTCCTTTCATGGCTGACTTACGTCACACAGCATCATTTGGACTAGTTTCATCCATGTTGTATAGTAGATCACAAATCTTTGATCATTTTTGAACCATGCCTCCACTGTGTGAATGTACCACCATTTCTTTAGTCATTTGTCCTTTGATGGGACTTAGGTTGTTACCAGGAGGGTGTGAACCCAGCGTGTTAGTGGTGGGTTGAGAAATGAGGACCAGAATAGCCAGCCAGAAAAAATCTTTCTGCTCTGAGAAACAGTACATGCCTTAAAGGTCAGGCTAAGCCACTACTCATTCAACACTGATTGAACACCTACTGTGTGCCAGGACTGTGCTTGGTGTCATTGCCTTAGAGCAGTTCAATTACTGCAGGAGCCAGGCTCATAGAAGGCACAGATCAGAGGGAAAGGTGTTTCAATGAGGGAGGAGGAGGGAATCAGGATGATGCGGGAGATCTGAATCGAAGCCTAATAAATGCATGGAATAAATGAATTCATCAGGGAGACTTTTAAGCTGAGGACAATGCAAATTAGTTCAGTGGAGAGAAGATTCTAGACACACAGCAAAGGTTTAATGGTAGGAGAGAAATGAGGCATCTAGAAACTGAAAGACCAGTCAGGCTGGACCTCAAGTGAGGGCAGGGAGGAAGTGGAGAGAGATGAGGTCAGGGAGGGACAGTCCACACAGTGCTTTGAGGCAGAGTTGGGACTTTATCACAAGGGCACTGGGCAGTTAGAGAAGGATTCTGGGAAGCTGGCACTTTAAAAAGATCCATTCCCCCTGGAGAATAAGAGAGAGAGTGGGTAGATTCAGTGCTAGAGGACAGGGGAAGCAGGAAGCCCACAGAGGCCACTGCCATCCAGGTGGGGAAGATGGAAAGGGAGTCAAGCAGACGGACTGAAGAATTGTTTAGGATAAAGAACCAGCAGGCCTTTCCTCCCTCTCTCCACCAGCCGGGACCATATGAGGCTGGAAGAGCGGGGAGCAGCCGGGGTCCAGGTGCCTGGCTCTGGAGTCTGGCTGGCAGATGGCGCCATCTTTCTTGTTGGAAAACACAGAAGTCTGTGGGGGCGAGCTGATGAGCGGGGACAAGCTGGTGAGTTGGGGGTGTATGTGTGAACTGATGAATGAGGACGAGCTGAGGGGCCCAAAGGACCATCCTAGAGACAGCTCTCTCAGAAGCAGCTACACCTACAGAGGCCTAGGACCTGGAGGGGGAGCCCTGGCGTTCCAGATCAAATGGAAGCCATGGCAAGGGTCAGGTGAGACAGCAGGACATGAGGAAAGAGGTCAGGGACTGAACGCTGGGAGCTGCAACAGATATGGTGGGCCTGGGAGGCTTAGCAACAGCAGCCAGGAGGGAAGGGGGGTGAACAGGCGTGAGGCTGATGTTCCAGAAACCAGGTGAGAGTGTTTCAAGAAGAAGGGAGTTGGTCCAGGGACCAAGATGAAGGAGCATCCTTGGATTTGGCAACCAGAAGCATTAGAAGGAAAAGCAGATGCGGGATTGAGGGGAAGGGGGCTAGAGGGAGACTAAGGAGCTTCACTCTGGGCAAGCAGTACAGAGGAGGTCAGAGAGAGGACAGGGGGTTGCTGTGGGGTTGGGGCAGCGGTGACCACCTGCTGCGTGGCTGGTTTTGTTGTTGGGGAAAGAGCCCAGTGTTTAAGTGTCCAGGGGAAGGAGCCAGCTTGAAGGCAGGGCCCTCCTAGGAGAGAAAAGGTTGAGAGGAGCTGGTGTGTGTGTGTGGTGGTGGGGGGGGGGGGCTCTGTCACCAAAGGTTTCCAAGCTGCAGGTTGTTGGCTTGAGGATGACAGTGGAAGGAATTCCTGTTGGGGGCCTTTCCACTCCCCGCGAGAGGTCCCCTGGGAGCTGGGGATAGGGCAGATCTCAAAGCGGTTTTTAGACGGTGCCTGGAGGCCTCTGGCATACGGTGAGCTCAACTCTTTGCCTAGGAAGAGCTGAGGCCTAGGGGTCCAAGGTCACACAGCACGTTTGGGCTTCCAGAGCTGAGATCTGGCGCCCCCCAGTCCCTGTCCCCTTACCCTGAAGAGCGCGGCGTCCTGCTGCGCCTGGTAGCCCAGTTTGGCCGCGTGCTTCCAGGGCACGCGGAAACTAGTCTTGTCCGCGTCTTCCCAGCTCAGCCCCGCGTAGCGCCCGCTCTCGATCTGCGCCACCAGCCAGTCGCGGAGGCGGAGGGGACCCTCAGATCCCGCCATCTGTGACCCTTTCTTTCCCTTCTCTCCCGGAGTCGCCGTCGGTCTCCAGGGACGCGGTGCGCGCGAAAGTGGCAGGGCCAGACTCGAGGGCGTCTTGAAGGGGGTGGCTATGTGCAGGGCCCTGGGTGGCGCGCAAAGGCGGCGAAAGTGAAAGTCTGGGCGGGCAGGTTTCGCTTTCCGTTTTGCCCCATCCCAGAGGTTCTTTCCTTTCGCCCCTCCCCGGGATAGTAGCGGGGGATGATCAAAGGCGCCCTGGGACGCGGAGTTGGCGGGAGGGCACGGGATGGGGTGGCTGGATTCGCCCTCGCACCTGGCACCTGTTCTGCGTTCTTCCCAGCCCCTCTAGAAACCTAGCAGGCTCTCTCCAGGATCTGCACTATGACGCTGGGGAAAGCATGCTGCTGTTGTGCTTGCTACGGTTGTGCTATTGAGTCTCACAGCTGACCATTCAGGGATTTTCATAGGCGGCTGGTCGCACAGGAGGAGCTTGCCCATCCTTCTCCTGAGGGAAAAGCATAGTCCTTCTCAAACTGTAACTCCAGCGCAGAATCCGGAGGCAGTGAGACAATGGCTGGCTTAAAATGCGCGCCCCAGGTCTGGTTTCCCTTCCCCAGGCCCCAGGATCGCGGTGCACGTGGACCAGGCGCAGCGCGTGGAGAATCAGCTCCTGAGATCTAAGAGGGCCCCTGCTTTCCAGCCACGCCCCTTCCTGCCGCATCCAAACTGATTCTCACAACAGAAAGTGTGGCAAAAGCAATGCCACTTTATTGCCAAGAAAATCGAGGCTCAGAGAGGCTAAGACCTTCTATCAGGCTCCCAGAGCTAATGGTATCCCTGTCCATCAGGCCTGACATCCGGTCACCCTCTTTTCTAAGTTATACAAGCTGGCTTGCATATCTGGGCATTTTCTGTGGTTTGCATTTCCAGTTAAATTGTCAAAGGGGCTTGTGATAGAGGTCAGACATCCCAGGCTGCTCCACTCTGCTGTGCACATGGGAAGATGTTCGAGAGATGGTTGAGAGGAGTGCAGTGAGCACAGATCTGGGCACCCGGCCAGTTTACATCAGCGAGGCTAGCAGCATTGCCTTCCTGTGTGCCCTCAGGTGAGCCTTCTGGGCGCCCCGTGCCCTCTGCCTCCACACTCCAGCCGTTACCTGGTTTCAAACCCAGGCCTGCTGTGTTTCTCCTTTGCAACTAGGTACACGTTTCATGTGATTAAATGGCAGGGCAACAAATGCATCTAAGCAGCGGTCTTCCCTGTGACGGAGGACTCCATTTTTAAGTGCCAAAAGTAAAAATCATTGCTGTGGCCTCATTGCTGACCTTCTAGCAGGTTTTCAGAGGTTGTAAAGTGCCGGGTGGCGATTGCCCATCTTTCTTCCTGGAAGTGTAGGTAGATTCAAACTGATGTTGCCTTTTGAGTTGACAGTGCTGCTGTCTACGGGCTGTAAGGATACCCTTTGTAGGTGACAAGGGGTCCTACTTAAGAGTGAATATTGTAGTTCCACCACTGTCTGGTGACCAGAGCACCAACTTCAATTTCAAATTGTAGCACTCCTCCAGATTAAATGAGATGTAGGTAGAGTGATCTGCCAACCCAGGCTCTTTTCGGAACCTGATTATCATCATTGGAAAGGTATCGTGCTTCTCACGATAAGACTTGGGGGCAGCGACTGGTTTAGAGTGCATAGTAAATGCTCAATAAATAAGAACTATTGTTGTTGAGTTAGAGTGAAGGTCATCCTGGAAGGGTGAGGAGGGTGTCCAAAAGGACCTGGAACGCCAGGCCACAGTGCTTGTTTCATCCCATAGATGGTGTTAACACATAGACATTTTTAAAGATGTCATCAGTTCCTCTGCTCAATCTCTTTCATGTGTAACCTTTTTTGTATCTCAAAAGGAAGCTCTCTGTGGCCTACTGGTAGGAAGCTGCACTGCAATCCCAAATGCACAAGTTCAAATCCACCACCAATTCAGTGGGAGAAGGATGGACAAGCTCCTCCTCCTTTTCAATTTAATGCCTCTAAAAACCCAGAAAACCCAAGAGGTCACCTATGGGGAGGTTTGGACTCAACAGCACACAACAGGCACACAACAATATATCTCAAAAGAGAAGGGCACAAAACACACCATACACTAACCCTGCCTCATTCATATAAAAAAACCTCATTCCCAAATGGGATTCTAACCACAGGCATACCAAACCCAAAAGCACTGTCTGTCATTAATGAGACTCATGGTGACCCTCTCTCTGATTTCTGAGGCTGCAAATCTTAATGGGAGAAGACTACTTCATCTTTCTCCCTCAGAGTGGCTGGTGGGTTCGAACTGCCAATCTTTCAGTTAGCAGCTCAACACTTAACCGACTATGCCACTAGGGTTCCTTTGTGATAGGCATAGAGGCCAGAATTTACAGCACGTATTGTAGAGGAACAGTGATCAATCCATAGTACCACCTGACTTTAAAAAATGCAGTTATTGACTCTCTTTTCATTTTTTTCTTGTTGTATACTGTTGAATCAGATCCAACTGGCACAGGAGGAGATTGCTCCTCCTTCTCCAGAGGAGCCTCTGGTGGATTCAAACCCTGCACCTTCAGGATTGATTATTGACTCTCTTGAACATCAGAGCATTAGCAATCTGAGGGCACAGGCGTTGCCTTGTTTTGCTCATTGTTTTTATCCTCAGTGTCCCACACGATGTCTGGCACACAGATGATGCTTCATGTTGAATGAGTGAGTGGAGGGAAACAAGGCTATTTTATACCTCACTGGTGTATAATGCCTCCCCAACAGCACCGAGCACGTGAATAACAACAACAACAACAACAATCCCACTGCCTTTGAGTGCGTTCTGGCTCACAGTGACTCTTCACTAGGTTTCCAAAACTAAGTCTTTACAAAAGTAAGTGGCCCTTAAGGGAGGTCCAGTGGCCTAGTGGCAAGAAGCTGTGCTGCAATCCTGAAGACACATGGTTTGAATCTGCCAGATACTCCACTGGAGAAAAGAGGGACAATCTCTTCCTGTGCCGGTTGGATCTGGTTTGATGGTACACACACACACAGAGAGAGAAAGAAAGAGAGGCCCACCGTTTTTCTCCCTTGGAACAGATGGTGTATTCAAACTGCCAACCTTTCTGTTAGCAGCCCCATACATTACACACTACTTCCCTACGCAGTAACAAATTCATTGGCATTGAGTCAGAACTGACTCACAGCTGACCCCTCCACTAGGCTTCCAAGACTGTACATGGCCCAGGAGGAGACTGCCTCCCAGGAGGAGACCGGCTTGGAGCCACTGGTGGATTCAAACTACCAGACAGGTGTGCTTTCGAGTTAGCAGTGCAGTTTCCCACTAAGCCATCTGAGATCCCGTTGTGGATAATGTTATGTACCATCCAGTCAGAACTGACCCATAGCTAACCCTCCAGTAGGTTTTCAGAGGCACGGGAGGTGGCTGCCCTGTCTCTGACAAAATAACTTGGTGGTTCAGATAATATCTTCTGTATCTCTTTATTATCCTACAGGCCTGGTGGGCCTTCACCCTCCCGCCCCACCAACACCCTCCATCCCCGCCTTTAAGGGTCGAGGCCCAAGTGACCCTTCCCCAGCCCAAGGACTAAGGCACCAGGTGGCTGCAGCAGGCCGGCCCAACACAGACACAGTTAACGGACACAGAAGCAGGGGGACAGGGGCACCAGGAGCGCAGGCCGTCGAGGGGCTCCCACGGGCTCTGGAGCGGTCCTGGGGTGGGGGGTAGCGGGCACAGAGATTCCGCAGGGGACCAGCAGGGAGGAAGGAGGGAGCCACGCGGGGTGAGCTCCTCACTTGCCCCCCTTGCGGGACAGACACCGCGGGAGGCAAGAGAAAGTCTGCTTGACGCGTGTCAGCAGCGGCAGGGGCCGGTGGCTGTCCCGGGGCGATCGCGGCACCAGGCGCTGGAGGGTTCCCTCTGCGACTCCGGAGGACGGCGTGGTGGAGGCGGCCGAAGGGGAGGAACTCTGCCTGAGGCGCTTGCACAGCGGTAGCAGCGCGCGCATCTCCTCCTCGTCCCGGAAAGGACTCTTCCCGAAGCGCTCCTTCAGCTGCCGCTGAAGCTGGGGAGGAGCGGATGGTGTGAGTTCCAAGTGCCCCCTGTGACCCGAATCCCTGCGCCCCCTGGGGTAACGAAATCATGGGGCCCACTGTCTCCCCGCAGCCGGGTCATGATTCCTTCCAGCCTCCGCCCTTCTCCCAGCTTCCCACCTTGTTTTTTTTTTTTTTTTAAATTTTATTATTTTTGTTTGTGTGTACCCTCAAATTGGATCTGACAGATACAGTAGGAGATTGCCCCTCCTTCTCCAGCAGAGCATCGGGTATATTTGAACCACGTACCTCTGGGATTGCAGTGCAGCTTCTTGCCACTAGGCCACCAGAGCTCCCTCACAGTTGTGGGTTTTTTTTTTTTTTTTTTTGTTTTGTTTTTTTTTATGGTAGAGGTTCAATTCTGAGTCAGACTATGAATCAGTTTCAACTCGATTGCAGTGAGCTTGAGGGTAATTTTTAAAGTGTAATTTTAATGAAAGTTTACAGAAAGGTTGGGTTTTCATTCATTCTTTCATTCATTCATCCATTCATTCTTGCACATTTTCCTCCCTCTCTCTGCCTTTCCCCTCCCCTAATCCATTTTGCAATGCACCTCTTGTTGCAGATTGTTGACATACAATATAATGTTTAATCATACATTCCTTCCAGACAGTTCTTCTCAACTTTCTAATGTAGTGTTCAATATCTATCTATCCATTTCCTATTAATTCCCTATAACAGTTCTATTTTATAATAGCAGTGTTATTTGTGCTTTTGTGACTGAGATATTTCACTGAGCGTATCTTCCAGGCTCATCCATGTTGTGTAGTGTTTTA